GCAAATGGGTCTTAAGAAAAAAGTTGAAACCGGATGGATCTATTGATAAATATAAGGCTAGACTAGTTGCAAAAGGTTTTAAACAACTAGAAGGCCTAGAATTTTTTGATACTTTTTCACCGGTAACAAGAATTACATCCATAAGACTTTTAATTGCTATGGCTGCAATTTTTGATTTGCAAATTCATCAAATGGATGTAAAAACTGCTTTTTTAAATGGAGACCTAAATGAGGAAATTTATATGGATCAACCCGAGTCTTTTGTTGAAGCAGGCCAAGAAAGCAAAGTATGTAAACTTACTAAATCCCTATATGGCTTGAAACAGGCACCTAAGCAATGGCATGAAAAGTTTGATTCCTGCATGATTGAAAATGGTTTTAAAACAAATGAGTGTGATAAGTGCATATATCATAAGTCTTGGAATAATTCACATGTGATTATTTGCCTATATGTTGATGATTTATTGATCTTTGGCTCTAACATGAATGTTATTGATGAAGCTAAGAATATTCTTAGAAGCCATTTTGATATGAAAGATCTTGGTGAGGCAAATTTATTCTTGGAATAAAAATAACAAGAACATGTGATGGAATTTTCCTTGACCAGTCACATTATGTTGAGAAAATTTTGAAAAAATATAACTTTCTTGATTGCAAGCATGTTGCAACTCCTTTTGATTCAAGTGTTCACTTATTTCCTGTTGAAAGTGAAAATGATGTAATAAATCAAAAGGAATATGCTAGCATAATCGGAAGTTTGAGGTATGTGACTGATTGCACTAGGCCTGATATTGCATATGCAGTAGGAGTACTTGGCAGGTTTACAAGCAAGCCAGGTAATGAACATTGGCATGCTATAACAAGAGTTATGAGATATTTAATTGGAACAAAAAATTGTGGTTTGTTCTATAAAAAATATCTGTTGTACTTGAAGGCTTTTGTGATGCAGATTGGAACACTTTATCAGGTGATTCTGTTCTACCACTGGTTATGTCTTTACTTTAGGTGGTGGTGCTGTTTGTTGGAGATCAAAAAAGCAAACTATTATTGCTAACTCTACCATGGAGGCTGAACTAATTGCTTTAGCTTCAGCTAGTGAGGAAGCGAATTGGTTAAGAGATTTATTATTTCAAATACCTTATTTTGAAAAACCAATTCCTCCTATTTTAATTCATTGTGATAGCACGCTGCAATTGGTAGAGTTCAAAACCGTTATTACAACGGTAAATCCAGACCTATAAGGAGGAAACACAGTAATGTAAGATATTTGACAAATGGTACCATTAATGTTGATTATGTCAAATCTTGTGATAATCTTGCAGATCCTCTTACTAAGGCCTTAACAAGAGAAAAGGTCTGGAGCACATCGAGGGGGATGGGATTGAAGCCTAAATCCTTGAGTCATATATGAGGAAACCCAACCTGGGGACTAGAGATCCTATAACCAGGTTCAAAGGGAAAAACTAATCATATGATGACTTGTTGTGAAAAATGCACTATCTTTTTATTTCCCTCCCTATGATGTGAGTGCATTGTTTCCTGTAGTTTGTGAAGGTTGAGTTGATAAAACTCTTAATGAATATCTGTAGCCCGTATGGGTGGAGTGTTAAGCTTACAGGAGCACTCTCGACAGATTTCACCTATGTGATGTGTGGAAGTAGGTCGCTTCCTATGAGAATTGGCTTATTCTCAAAAGCACTCATGAAACCGGGATAGCACATGGCCATAACGTGCTGGCTTTAAAGCTCATGTCAACACCTTGATTATTATGTGTGAGCAGTGATATTTTATTTCCCTTAAGCAGTCATAGTTCAAGTCTGAGACCACTACGACTCTGGAGTAAAAGTTACTGTTTCACTAAGTGGAGGTTCAATGCAGAGCACACCTTCATTATGCATAGTATCTTCCTTCAGCTGATAGACTCTCTTATGTAATATTAAAATGAGTGGGGATTGTTGGTTTATTTGCATTTTAATATTAATATTTTTAATATATTAATTTGCTTTATTTTGGAGTTAGAAAGAATTGATGAATGTTTCAGCAGTTAGTGGACAATTTTCATTGCTGGAACGTTAGGCATTAGTGACTAATTACTCATTTTTGTTAATCAATTTTCATAGGCATTATTGGCAATTATGTGATGGTTACAAAATTGTTATTGCCGTTGTATTATTCTGGCAGAACTAGTAGTGGTCAACTATGACCATTACTTCTCCATATTGAGATCCCATTCTTTATTCCTCCATTATACATTGTAACCTATGTAACTCCTAGGCCATTTATCTTCACTATTTACCACTCCATTATCTTCCTATTTATTTCTAGGAAGACTTCTCTAGTATAAATAGTGGTGGTATCATTTGGTTTTGATATAGACAACACATAAGAAAAAGATAGAGAGGAAAAAGTTTGTCAAAAAGAGAGTTCTTATTAGTTGAAGGGAGGTGTTCTTTTTTGTGGAGCTTTGGACTCAACTCTTGTCCAGAGTTGTTGAGTTATACTTTGTGAAGGCTGTTGTATCCTGGAGGGGACAAGTCAAGAGAACTACTGCTGGACCGGTGAAAACATTTACTGCAGTGGGCTTGAATCTCCTTAAAGAGAACGAGATATCCGCGCCTCAGCCTGAAGAGATTTATTTCTTCATTTTTATTTTCAATTGTAATTTTGTATTATTTATTATCTTATAAGTTTTTCACTAACACATGCAATGATCAAGCTAAATCATAAGATAAAAGTGTTAGAAAACATAAGTCATAATCATGGTCAATGCAAGCTTAACATCTTCAAAACAATACTTTCATAAAGTAACCTTAGTTCATTATTGTGGGAATTTTATCATATAACCGGCATAGACCATGTGAGTTATAACATGGAATCTATTGTCTATCTCACACCAAAGAGGGATTTCGTTATTTTCCAAGGTAATAGCCATGAGTCTGAGCTAATGTGGATCCACTAGCATTAGTTTAATAGAGACAATCATCCTATGATGGCACATAGTTTATGGGACATGGGTAATCGCTAGTCCACTCGATGCTAAGTAAATCCCACAAAATAGTCATTAATCATTCTTATTATTATCCATGGAAAGGAAAAATTAAGCAACCTATCCAAGCTAGAATATAATTCTTTTGGAATAGCTCCTTCATCTTGATTCAACTTAGGTGAGAAAACCTTTCAACCTTATGAATTCTTTATGTGAGAAATCCTTTCACAATCATGTTCTTAGTTGTATGTGAGAAAACCTTTCACAACAACCTTGCTAATTTACTCTCAAAGCATCCTCAAATCATTTACATCAACTTCATAAAAACATGCATATCTTCATAACTTTATCTTTCATAGTTCATAAGCTTCATCATGAGTTCATAGTCTATAAATCATGGATCATGCATGGATTCATCTAAATATAACTCAAATCATGTAAATACTTTTAATTCATGCATTAGAAGATAAGAAATAAGTAATTAAATCATAATTGAAAAGAATCCATGATGATTGAATAAAACCCTAACTTTTGGATTGAGAATCTAACTTGTAAAACTAGAAGAATATAGGAACCCTATAGAGGAAAGGACTCCTACATAGGTGAAGACTAACATACCTTAGAGATAAGTGCCTAAAAGCTATGGTGAAATTAAGACCTTGGTGATTGAAATCCTAACTTCCTCTTTCTTAGCCTTAGAGAGAATTTTGGGAAAGAACTTGGAGGGAAATTTGGGAATTAGATGAATGATTTAGAATTGGTAGTTTTAGGACTTAATTCAGTTATATAGGTCTTGAAATAGGGGTTAAAAGGACGTAGTTTAGGTAACAAACACTTAGAGGAAAGACTAAAATGACACTAGCTTAAAAATTGATGGAGTCACCTAAAAAGAGGGTTGGATGGTCTATACAAGGCCTCACTGGGTGCATAGGGAGCCGTCTAGGAGACCCCTTGCTTGGCAGCCTTAGACGGCTGGGCAGCCTCCCCTAAACGGGCCGTCTATGGCTTCACGGACCGTTTAGGGGTCCGTCCAGGTGGCCTCCTTTCTTGGCAGCCTTTAAACGGCCAATCCACTTGCCTAAACAGATTGTGGTCCCTTTTATGAGCCGTTTAGGTTTCAGTGAAGGGTCCATGGTCTGTTTTAGGGCTGTAGACTTGTTCGTTAATCCTCTTTTACCTTTTCCAAGTCCGAGGTATTACAGTTCAATTTGAGCCAATTGTTACATTTCAGCTATTGTACATTTCATGTACTGACATCATTCAACAATGCATCATTTTATAATGCAAAGTCAGGTAATCACGATAGCATATACATATTAGGATCATTTTCATTCGACTTTGGTGAGACCTCCTTGCTTTCAGAGGGCTTCAATTTATCTAGAGTATTAGTAGTCAGCACATATTAGCAGAGAGCGTTGGATCTTGTCCCAGTAACCTATCATTGGTATATTAAATGATTCATATGCAAGTCAGATGTGTTATCACTCAAATATTATTTTCTATCACTAGATAAATTTATCATGCTGAAATACGATTTTGGTAACATTTTATTGATATGGAATTTAATTTCATATATACATTAAGATATTGAAAATAAACCAGTCTTAATTATTATTAGTGTCAGATCTAGAGACAACATGTTAATATTAAGATAGATACATATAGTAATCTTTAGATTGTATTCAAATTGAAACGTCTCAATCTTAATACAAACAAAAGAGGCCTTAAACTAGAAGGCATTATTGATTATGAATTTTCACTGCTTGTGGAGGTTAGTCTAGTTTACAAGAAGGTGTATTGGTGATTGTTCATGTGGAAAAACAATATGTGAATCATTTGTTATTCATGAGTACATCGAATAGACATAATCAACTTAATCCTCTATTCTCTGTGGACCGAAAATTGTAAAGATGCCAGGATATTGTCTGATACAATTTCATTGAAGTGAATGCAAAGAGAGCAAAACGTCGCCATTTCTCTGAAACAACTGTATCTTACAAAAATTCTCAACTCGAATTACAATCTAATTGCTATGATGCCTCTCTGCATTCTGTAAATGAGCAAATAAAAGAGAATGTACAAAGGAAAACCTTGTATTCTATTTATCAAGTTATACAGGAGGAGGTGGCAGGTCTAACAGAAGCCAGAATCCAACACAATCATCCGAATTCAGGTCATTTTGAATAGCAAGGAAGTGCAAACCTCCACAGGCTTTCTTTGCTGCTTCCCAAGCTTCAGCTTCGCTTGTGGATACAGGATTTTTTCTTGTAAGTCGCATAAATGTAGCGGGTAGAGATACCCACCGACAAAATTAACGAAGCCTTGTCCACATCAGCTTCAATCGAACAGACTTCCAAGCCATTCATCCAAGCTGTAGTAGTCCACAATCAAAAGACGATGAACTATCTTTGCATTAAACAGAAATTGTAAAAAAAAGAACATTTGCACAGAACACATTATTTGGTCTCATTAATAGGCTAGAATTATCCAAAGATGTTGCTGGCTATAGGAGCCCGAGCATACAGATGGATTGACCAAACTCAACCTTAAACCAACATTCCTCAATGAATGTACTTTAACTATGACCTACATACCCCCTTGACTTTCGGAAATAGGGAGATATGTATTCAGATGCTATAGTTTGATGTCAGAAGGTTTTAACAGTTCACGCAGATCATCATATTGTTTGTCCAATCACACTGTGCCAATTTAGACCAGCTTATCTGAGTAAATTTGACTAGTAAATAAAAGATTTTGAATGGATTGATATACAGAAATTAATTCGAGATACATTCAAAATAATAGAAGAGACGAGATTCATAAAATTGATGTGAAATAGTTTCAATTTATTTAGCTTGAATTCATGGAAACAAGAAATTTTCATATTAGAAAAGGGGTAGAAAGTTTTGGGATGCATAAAGATGGAAAGTGTATCAAGCAAATTCGGACATAGACCAAGTGTTTTGATACTTGTTAGTGCCCAGCAAATAGAGCAGAAAAATAGATTTCAAATCGAAATGAGCGGATAGACACTCTGTCCTTAGAAAATATGGAGAAGCTTTGAGAACAGACATGTGTTTATGAATGAAATTTGATCAATTAGTCAAGACCCAATCAATTGACACCAAATGCTTCAATCACATATAGGCAAATTGAAGAGACATCCTCAAAGGCGCAAGAATCTTGCGATCATCTAACAACTAAATAATAACATGCAATACTTGAAGCCAGGCTCTGTTTACATCAATGATGGCAGTTACCACATCAATTTATGTGCAGAACCATCTTTGCTTCAAGAAGCCACAACTCCAAGAAAAGTGAATTTTCAACAATACTGAACAAATGCAATAACAGTTTTCAATAAAGCATTGACAACCCACGGTGAGATAACATCTTTTCAAGAAAATGATGTGAGAACCTGTGGTGAAGAAATAAAGAGATCCTTCTATATCGAAATCTCAATTGACAAAATAATAGGAAAATTTTGGATCACCCGTGAAGTTTCTCCACTTTATCTCTCCAACATAGACTTGTCTATATAATACAGATAACTTTAATCTTTAATTGAGCAATCATAGTACAAATTACCACTTCTGCCGAGAAATACATCATCAGACCATTTGAAAAAAGGAATGAATATTTTTTTTTAAAATCACATATGAGAATGATATAAGTAGTCTAATTATTCTTGCTTCATGAGGGTTCAACCTAATGCCTCGGTGTTTTGGGCCCACAACCCCATCTCTGCAAATTCTAATTGACTAACATTGTGGTCATGACAAATGGTTGCACATTAGAAAAGGTTCAATGCCCATATGAACTAGCAAGAAATGATTTCAATGTTGATTAAATTAAGTAGATTGAATTAACTCGAAAAAAGGGGGAAGAAAACGGAAAGTAGTTTAAATTATACTGATAGAGCATATGAGAGTTATAAAAGAAGTATGATGATAACTTGTCAATCTAGGAACAACGCATGTGCTCATGAATTGTCATAATCCATTAAAACAATAAAGTTACAAAAAGATAGTACAGCTATAATACCTGCTAATGGTTTTGCACGTGAGGATGCAACTGCTAGTCCAGGA